ATGGAGGCCAGATTTTGTTCCGCCCAGGCCCCCAGTAGGAGGGCCTCGGCCGAGAGCGAGCGAGAGTGCGTGCCCCCCTGACGGTTTATGTGGGCCTTGGCTGTCACGTTGTCCGTCAGGACCAGTACGTGCCTGCCTTTTATGCTGCTGTGAAAATGCCTTAACGCTAGGTGAATAGCCCGCAGCTTGAGCCAGTTTATGTTGTGTCGGAGATCCACCGCTGACCAGCGGCCCTGTGCCCACTTGGTCCCCAAGTGGCCTCCCCAGCCGAATAAGCTCGCATCTGTTGTGACTACTACTCTGTCTGGTTCCCTGAAGGGGGACCCCCTGAGGAGAGCTGGAGATAGCCACCACCTGAGGGAGTGTCGTACTCTCAGAGGTATGCCTACCCTCTTCCGGGATGCACTGATTTGTTGTCTCTGAAACGGGAGCATGAACCATTGCAGTTCTCTTGAGTGCAGCCTTGCCCAAGGAACTATTGCTATGGTCGATATCATCTTCCCTAGCAGCTGGGAGAGGCAGACCAGCGTCACTGACTGACCGCGGCTTACCTGTTTTACGGCTTTCTTTATGCTGCTGAGGCGTTCCTGTGATAGGTACACCTTGCATTCCTTTGTGTCTATGACCGCTCCCAGGTGGAGTATTCTCGTAGTTGGGGTTAGATGGCTCTTTGGAAAGTTCACCGAGAAGCCGTGGTCCTGCAGCATTTTTATCACTAACTTTAGGTCCGCCCGAGACTGCTGGGCGGACGATGACTGGATTAGAATATCGTCCAGGTAGCACTGGACTCTGACTGGTACGTTTCTTAGTTGTGCTGCCAGAACCGCCAGAATCTTGGTGAACACCCTGGGCGCTGATGACAGGCCGAATGGAAGTGCCCTGTATTGAAAATGGTGCCCCCTGTAGGCAAACCGTAGAAAGCGGCGGTGAGCCAGAGAGATAGGGATGTGCAAGTATGCCTCCGTGAGGTCGATCGATGCCAGAAAATCCCCTTTCCTTACGCTTCCAAGGATGGAGCGTAGTGTCTGCATTTTGAATTTGCGGTATTTTATGTAGAAATTTAGCCTTTTCAAATCCAAAACGGCTCTCCAACCCCCCGAGGGTTTTGGGACCACGAAGAGGATAGAATAAAACCCCTGGTCTCTCTGGTTCATAGGCACCGGCTCTACGGCCCGTATGTTTAGAAGGTGCTGAACGGCCTCGTTCATGAGCCTTCTCTTTGTTGGGTTTGTGGGACAGGGGCACGGGCGGAAGCGGTTCGGGGGCTTTGAGAGAAATTCTAGAGATAGACCATGACGTATGGTGTTCCTGACCCATACGTCCGTGGTGGTCTCTTCCCACTGGGGAGCAAACCCTGCTAGTCTGCCCCCTATGGGAAGGTCTGGGCGGGAGTCATCTGGTACGGCGGAAGGGGCGGTTGTTCCCCCGAAAGGGCCGTCTTCCCTGTGTTTGCCTATGTCTTGTGTTCTGTCTGTCCCCCTGTCTTTCCCTATCCTGTCTAGCTTGGAAGGGTTGGGAATTTTGAAAGTAGTTGACCCTGGCTTCCGTACGAAAGGATTGTTTCCTTCCCCAGGAGCCGGGTCTCTTGTCCTGCCTTTTAAGCATGTGTTTAAGGACCTTGCGCTTGTCCTTGTTCTCTGTCAGGTATGGCGTTAGTGCCTCACCAAACAGCTTTGCCCCTTGGTACGGAGCCGAAGCCAATTTCCACTTGGATTTGGTATCCGCCTGCCAGTTCTTTAGCCAGAGGATGCGCCTGCTCGTGTTGTTTGCCGCCATTGCCTTGGCTGAAAACTTGGTCGCTAAAAGTGTTGCGTCCGACGCATATTCCGTGGCCGCTACCATTTTGCTGAGTTCCTGATGAGTGCGTATATCTTCCATGGGAACCCGGCCCTGTAGCTCACGGAGCCAACAAAGTGTGGCTCTGGTGAAAAAGGACGCGGAGGTAGACGCCCTGGTAGCCCAAGCTATTGCCTGGTGCGTTCTCCTGTAGTTGGACTCACTCTTTCGGTCCTCGGCTTTAAGAGCCTCAGCAAAATCTCCTGATATGGCCGTGTCCGATATCAGGGGACCTATGGGTTCGTCCACCACCGGCACCTCCAATGTTCCCTCTAGCTCCCTTGCTACGTTAAATAGCTTCCTCTCCGCATTGCTAGGAAGCGGTAGGGAGGTTGGCGCTGCCCACTGTTTCCTTATTGTGTTTAGGAACATGGTCGGGCATGGTATGCGGTGTTGAGTGGTTACCTTTTCGGCGAACGTCGGCTCAGCCTCCGTGTCAACTGTGACAGACTCCGCTGGTGTCCCATGCCCCAGATGGGCTGTGGCCTCAGCCTTGCGCAGAATAGTAACAAAAAGAGAAGGGTTAAACAGGCCGCTGAAGGACGGCCCTTGAGGTGAGGTGTCCTCTTCCTCCTCAGACATTTGAATCCCTTGTGATGTACCTGGCTGGTCCAGGTAAGCTTCCTCAGAGACCCACGAGTCTGAGACGGAGGAGAGGTCCTGATGGTCCTTCGTTTCCTCCCGATGCCTCTTTCTAAGTCCTAGAGACTTGGCTTTTGAAGTTTGAGCCCTGGCCTCAAATGCACGGTCCACTGCCTGTGCTATTAGGGTAGCTAGCAGATCCCCCGTCAATGCAGGAGGAGTGACCATTGCCTGCGACCCTGCAGGTGCTGTGGTTAGCATGGTCCTCGGGGTTTCCTGTAACCTCCGTGGGGAGGGGGATCGGGAGAGCGATGAGAATTCGCCTATCCCACCCTCTGTTTGGGACTGTGATGAGCTCCCTAATGACCAAATGGCCCGTGGGGATGAAGGGAGACCCAGCGGTAGATCAGGACCTATTCCCCCATTCTGCCTATTTTCAATTCTGGCCCTTTTCTGGGCTCTGTCGAACTCTTTTTCTAGGGCTTGGTGTCTTCTGATTGCCTGTTTGTCAGCCTTCTTTGATGACTTCCTTGCAGCCTTTCTAGGGGCTGCAGAGGATTCCGAATCCTCTGAAGCAGGTGCTCCAGAGGATGAAGGCGGGGCTCCAGTGGAGGGAATGATTGCTTCCTCCATTCTCCACTAACGCTGGGCCGCGATAGGGGGGACCCAGGTAGTAGGAGAGCTCCAACTTTGAGTAAGGACAGGCGCACTACTGGGGGCGTCTGGAACTCAGGAGCAGACTCTGCCAAATTGTCAGAGTTAGTCACTGTGCATGGATAAGAACAGGCACGCTAATGGGAATGCCTGGAACCCGGCTTGACTATGGTGGGTAAGGACAGGCACGCGACTGGGGATGCCTGGGACCCACCACTAAATCCAGAGGCGTACGGGCCACTAATGGGGGACCCGAAGTCTGGAAGGAGCCAAAGGCAACTAAACACAGTTAGTTATGAAAGGTTCTTATTTACTTTAGGTAGAAGACACCAAGTCCTGGAACCAGTAGCTATGTGTCTGATTTGAATGTCTCTGAATGAATAATAGATGCTTTAGTACCCCAGTACTGCTTGCCTATTAATTCACTCCAGCGGCTGAACCTAGCTTTCTTAAGGAACTTTAACTCCCCTGTTTGGACAAAAAATATGGCCGCCGCTGCCAGGAAACTACTGCGCATGTGTTAACAAGGCTGCCTATGCCACGTGCGGTTGTAACAAAGAGCTGCGCGTGCTTCCAGCTGTGCAGACAATGGCGCCTCGTTTAAAAAATCCTGAGCAGCCTGGAGTGAAAAGACTGCTCCTTCGCACGCCAGCTGTTTCCCTTAATCAATCTCCCTCCCAGCATGCGTCCCCTTTGTCCTCCGCTTCCCTCGCTAACTGCTTGCCTTTCTGTCTTTTTTTTTGTTTGTTTGTTTTAAACGCGAGGGGTTGCCCGAGCCTCCCCGTTTGTTTAAGGCGGCTGCCGGCTGCTGGAAGGTGGCTGGGGTTGGTTAGGGAGGGGAGTTAGGGATTTCCCCCTTTTAAGTGGGGGTGGTTTCCCCTGTAGGAATCTGACTTCCTGAGTTTTACAATTTAGCAAGGAAATTTTTGAGTGGTCAATTAAATTGAATTAAATTATCTCTAATTAACTTTTAAACTAAGCAATTTCAGCTACTAGAAAAAATCCCCCCTAACGGAAAGGAACTATACCTGCCCAGGAGCCAAAAGTTGTAGATGTCTCTGCATGGCCAGATCAGTCAAGACTAAAGGATCATGGTCCAAGACGGGGCGTGGCAACTTTGGCTGACTGATCTGATTGGCCAGGAATACAGTCTCAACCCACTGCGTGGATTATCCATCTCCAGTGCTGGAGAAATTGCCTATGACAATCATCACTCATATTTTGGCCATAAGGAGTTAAAACTATATATATATTTCTTATTAGAGATCACCAATCACAGAACAGTATTTTTTTCATTTCATTTTTCCCATGGGTGCCAATATCATAGATGGGAGAGACTTTCCTAACTTATCCAAGTTTAATACTGTGAATAAACTACCAATTAAATAATATTTAGATTCAAAAAATGATGCTGGACTTGAGAAGGAGGCACTATTGTTGCACTATTATTTTCCCTTTAGAATTTGTTTTTTTTGTAAGAAGAAAGCTAGACAACCCAACTCAGCTTTTTTAAAAGCCAAAAAAAAAAGATAATTGTTCAAGTATGAAATCATTAAAATATATTCTCCTTATTTAATTGATCTTTTTGAAATTCCTGGAAGTTAGGCAGAATATAAATAAATATAATAAATTTTTATGTAATTTAAAGAAATAATTTAATGAACTATTATTTATTATTGTAAACTAATTTGGTTTAAAGACATGAACACTACTGTTCAATAAATAATATATCGTTATTTCAAACTGGTATTTCTACTTTCTGATCACTACTTCACAAATTGCTTGTTCCTATAGTTATATGCTGTGTGTGAGAAAAAAATTCAGCAGCAAATGAGTTAAAAGTTAATTATATTAGGCATCATACCACAACCATGCAAGAACACAAAATTTAAAAGAACATTCTGCTGGTTGCATTATTTTTTACTTACCAGATTTGTAATCTAATTTTCTTTCCTCTTAGCTCTACTGTTTTGATTTTAAAATCAACACCTATAAATAAAATACAGTAAATAAAAGAGGAGGAATAAATAGCAAATGCAAATACAAGTATGATAATTTTGTACCTGTTCATATATAAGCAAGCTGAAGAGATAAAAGACAGATATTGCATCTGGATCGTAACTGCAAAACTGAAAATGTTTTCAATAAAAAGATTTTGATATTATGATTTACTCAAATTAAACTAGAAGTGCCTCATACCTTGACCAGTTTTATAGGAACCATCTGAAACTTTATATTAAAAAAACCCTTCTAGTTTGATCTAGCTCAGTGGAAGGAAAGATCTTGCTAGAAAAATCAAGGGTGATTTCTTACTGAAAGGAATTTTGTTCAACTTTAGAGTGCTCATGGAACTTATGTGGCATTCTGTGATATTCTTGTTTCACTATTGCCAATAAAACCCCCAAAACTTCAAAAAATGATCCTCCATTATATCCATGTTACATACATATTCTCTAAGTATTATAACTTACACCACAGTATACTGAAATCTGATCTTGAGAATACACGGATGAGGTAAATGGTCAGCCATGAGTGCAGAATCACTGGCTTCAAACAATATTTATTAAAAATACATTAAACTCACAGAAACATTATTCATTGACAATGTAAAGATATACTACATACACAGACAATATTTTCTAATGTACATAAAATATGACAAAAACATTTTTTTTAGATATTTAAACATTTTAAACTTGTTTTATGTACCTGAAGGAATACTGGGCCTTTACTTTTCTAATAGGTGTTATCATAATAATATAACTTTCTAAAAAATGCATCAGTGAAAAAAAACAGATCAAATTTTCCAAAATAATTGACCAGTGAAAGCCGGATGTGTTCAGTTGCTCTTTTGGATTTTAAGTCATATCTCTAGATGTAGATTATCTGATTTAAGAGTTACATAATTGCCTGTCTCTCACTTTGCTGAGTTGGAAGGAGAAAGAAACTAACCCTTATAGTACTTCCAAAATACTCCTTATTTGCCTTATTACTATTGTCATTGGTCACCTTTATTTTTCTTTCCATTTGAACATGAAGTGTTTCTGAAAGACTAACACAGTCTGAGGTACTTATATTCTCCCACCATCTAGAGGTTTTGTCTCTAAGTCACAGGAAGGAAAATTACATGTATTTTTTTAGACACAATTATTAGCAGGTACTCTTTGACACTGTTTATGTATTAGGACAGGAACCCCCAAGAGTTGCTTACAAAAACATAATAGCAGCACTTCGTGTTCTTGATGAAGAGAGGTGAGAATTATGGTAGGCAGAGGAAAAAAATTAAAGGAAAGCAATTAAAGGGGTTGGCAATTCCTATTTATTTATTACTCATGATAGAAGGTTATGTTTCTTCACAAATTGACTTCAACTACCATTGCAAAACTGGAATTGGAGTTAAGACCATCCTTTTCAGTGGTATGCCAAAAGTCACATTCAGAAGTGATCTCTTTGCAACCATTAGAATATACCCCCAGATAACTGTGCATAGAATCGCAGTCTATGTAAGCTATGTTAATTGGGGAACAAGTAGGCCAAAGGGCAAAAAAGCAAATACAGAATTAGACTTGGCCCAGCATGACCAAATCACACGTTAGAAAGATGGCCTTCATAATGCTGCAATAGACTGTAAAATCAAAACCATGTTTTATCAGTGCTGTTTACAGCTGTGCAGTCTGTGCTGTACAGGTCATACCAATTAACATAGAGTTCAGTGTGTTCTGAAAAATGGTAAAGATAAAACCATAAATACCATTGATGTGAGATTCTCACAGCAATTTCCCTACAGCCTAGTGGATAAAGTCCTGCAAGTCATATAATCATTTTCATATAATTGAAAATAATAAGAATCTCAAATAGTTTATTATCCAAAACCTAAAGTGAAGTTAATCATAAAATAAAATCATGCCTGTTTCGTTCTTCTTATATTACTTCAGATGCTTATAACTCAACATGGATTTTGATTCTTATTTCAAAACCAGCATTTATTTACTACATATTAATTCAATTTTAATTTTGTTAGCCTTCACAGATAGTCCAATCCAGAACAAATGGTTGTTCGGCAACTTGCAACTTTCCTTGCCAGCTTTCCCAGACTTTCTGGGGAAGCCAGCAAAGACTGCAAATGGTGATTACATTATTATGGGATGTTTGGCAACCAAACCAAGCACCTAGATCACGGGTGTCAAACTCGCCACGTCACGTGTCGTGATGTATTGAAACTTTTTGCATTGCTGGCAATAGGGTTGGCGTAGCTTCGGTATGATGAAACTGGCTCGTGGGCTGGCAGTTTGATACCCATGACCTAGATCATGACCACAGATCATCTCTGTGGACACGCGTGCCATCGCCCCAGCCCCGCCTCACTCCGCAGTCCCCTCCTCACCAGCAGCCCCCCTGGAGGAGAGTTGCCCCCAGGCACGACCTGCATGGAGCAGTGCAGCCAAGCACATGGCAGCTGGGCAGCAGGAATAAGACTTTGCCCTCATGCCCTGTCACGCGCAGATGATGCTGCAGGGCGCAGGCGGAGGGCGTGGTCACCACGGCGCTGCAGGGCCGCCTGGGCGATCTGCAGCAGGCTGTGGAGGCGGTAGGTGGCCCTGCAGGTGGGTGGGGCAGGGGGCGGAGCAGGGGCAGGCAGAGCGGTTTTTGGGCACTTGGTATCTAAAAGGTTCGCCATCACTGATCTAGGGGACATTGGTGTATGGGGTTGTTGTGATGATTTTACTTTATACGTTATACAGCAGCAGTCCCCAATCTTTCTGGCTTGGCAGACTGGTGGAGGCAGGAGAGAGAAGGGATGGTTTTGCACGTGCGCACACCGCTTTTAAAATGCAACTTCGTGTGCATGTGGGTGCTCACCCACCACTTATCCCAGTTCTGGATGGGCTGCAACCCAGCACTGGGGTCCGGCCCAGGGATTGGGGATCCCTGTTATACAAGCTCAGTAGAACTTAAGTAAAGTTTTACTATTGGAAGCTCCTGGAAAGGTCATTCTGAATTCTGTCATTAAATGTTACTAATATATTCTCCCTCCTTTCAGCTGGTGCCAAATGCTAAAATCTTGGTGGCAATATTATACTTCTGTCTGGCTGTAGCAGTAGACTGGTCAAGACAAACCACTTATGATTAATGGACAAAGTGCCCTGGGAAGTAGAAATCCACTATTCAGGATAGTGTAGGACTACTTGAGAAGATTGTAGTTTGCAGCTTTGAAATGTTTCTGGTTTGACACTACTCCTACAATTTGTTTAGAAAAATATTTGCTCAACATGTCAGCTACATCTATTCTTGAAAAAGATAAATGAAGCAGATCAAATAAACATGTTATTTACAATTAACTTCTAAATTACCCTTCAACTCAGAAAGGAGACAATTTAAATTTGTCCAAAAACTTACACATGTGTGATCTATAAATTCATATGGTGGGTTAGTATTATGTAGTAACCAAGCTACATAATACTAAGTAACCAGTAACCAAAGTGTGGAAATGTGTAATATTATATATGTGTATAATACTTAGTATTATATAGTAACCAAGCTACATAATACAAAGTAACCAAGTAATCAACTAACAAACCAAGTAACCAACCAAAGTGTGGATATGTGAGAAGAGGTTTACAGAAATTGTTTTGGCAGGGTGAGTAGCATAATAACTATTCTCATACAGTAAAGCACAAGATAGGAAGATGGGAAATGGATTTTCCAGATTTTAAGAAGCATTTTGTACACTTTGTAGGAAATACAAGCTACTAAAACACTAAAAAAAAAAAAAAAATGAGTCAGAGCTATTCATTAACTTCTGCAATCCATGTTTCCAGTTTCTAAAGTTAGTGTACATATGAATGTTGGTAAGTTACTATTAAAAGTAACATGTATTGCAACCTGGTACATGTTTACACAGAAGTAAGTGCTCCTGATTGCAATGAGATATGCTCCAAAGTATAGGACTGAAGCCAAAGTAACGTTATTATACCTATAATATATCTATATCTGATTTAAGTTACATTTATAGCAATTAATCCAACATTAAATAAAAAGAAATCCCATCTTTTAATCATGATAAAGGAAAGAAAAAAAATCAAGAGTGTGAACTATTAAATTTAAAAATCTAATGAATGTAGTATATGCAAATTATATGTATTAAAATGTATTTCAGTGAGGCTTATATAAATCCATTTAAATGTATATCAACCTATCATTAACCTGAGTAAAAAGAAAAGCATATAGAAATATTCCCTGCAATTTTATATGGTGGACTGTCCTATAAAGTCTCACTAGTATGCAAGCATCACTGATCTTGAGTTAAATATTATAAGATTGCTGTAAGATTCTACTACAATAAATAAATTAATAGGAATAAAGAATACAGACAATTAAAACAATGTATCAGCCACCTTAAAAACCAAGTGCCCCTACTGTTAAGTTCCAGCTGCATTTTTTTCACAACTATGAAATTTTGGCTTGTGAAACAAATAAACAATAAAGATGTTTATTTAACAAATATTTTAGGTAAATCTGATCTGCTCTGATCAGGAAAATTAATTTGTCTATTCCAATAAGAATAACTTATCTATTTACAGATACAATGAACTGCTAGAATTACCTAATTAGTTTCTGAAGTGTATTTCAGGATAGTGGTTTTCAAGACATATTAGGGAACCTAGTAAATGAAGTTCAGTGTATATTTCTTTTAAGAGGTCACTACTGCCAGTATAATTTTTACGAAAAGCAACTTGCTCATCAACATCAGTCTTCATGTGGTGGTCAGGAAATAGATATAGCTAATGCATTTCATTAACTCAACTACAAATTATCTTTCCAATTTAAATTAAGCATACAAATCCAAAGGTTTCCCAAGAGACAAAAGAAATGTGTGAAGTATTATTAGAAGCAGGAATTCTATAAATTACTAAAAGTAATCCATAAAGGTTTCACTCAAAAGAATTGTATTAAAACACTAAGTCCTAACTTCATCTTGGAATAAATCCTATTGCAAACAGTGACATTTACTTCTGAAAAAATATGCGTAGCACTGCATGACAACCCGTTTTTCCTTAGGAAAAATGTATAAACCATAGAGGAGTATTTCAAATAGTTGATAATTTTAAAAGCAAATCTTTCTCTGATCTGTATCTATGTTGTCAAATGGCATAAATGTAGTACTGTACAGGTTTTTCTGGATACCAAGACAATCTTAAACTTTAAAGCTTCCCTCTCTGGCTTCTTCCAATGAGAAAAAGCTATCATGCTGCAATTGACAATCTGGAAACAAAACAAGAAAGGGAGATCTACGGCCACATGCCTTTAAAAAAAAAACAATTTTGTAAATATTTGCAGCTAGATCACAGTTGACCATGGTCATATCCAAATGGTCAGAACGAGCCTCAGAATGTGCCTGCAGTAGCAGTGGACAGATACTGTATTGTGATTATTGAAGGCCCATTGATGCTTGGTTAAAAAAAAAAAAAACTTTAGTAGTCACTGACAAATATCATCTTTTTTGAGGGAGCCTTTGAGTCGGCAACTGCCTGGACAAATTGCTACAGTTTTCTTGGCAAGATTTTGGAAGTAGCTTGCAATTGCCTTCTTCCTAGGGTTGAGAGTGGGTGACTGGCCCAAGGTCAACAAGCTGGCTTTGTGCCTAAAATGGGACTGAAACTCATGGTATCTTCGTTTCTCATCTGATGCCTTAACCCCTTTATGAAATTGGCACTCTAATCTTCTAAATAGCCAAACCTAATTACAGAAACAAATTCTGTGAAAGCTTGTAACATTTCCTAATGAAAGAATAATTCTAATCATTTTAATTGAGGATTGTAGGTTCTTACAGTTTACACTTTATGAAGCAAAAGAATATTACTTATGAGAGGTGTTCACAATATCCCAGATGTAAGTGTACACAAAAGTGTATAAAAGGACTGATGTATTGACAGTCTTATGTTTCATTTCTTCCCTTATGAACCAAGAAATACTGCTTCCCCATCCTGTTATAAAACAATGCACTTATATCAGTGTTTCCCAATCTGGGCAGTTTTAAGATTTATGACTTTTAACACCCAGAATTCTATAGCTGGGGAATTCTGGGAGTTGGAAGTTACACATCTTAAAGGTGGAAAAACATATTTATTTCTAAAATTAGCGTTTCCCTGACATACATCCTGCAAGTTATCCTTACTTTTTCAGATGGGGGCACGGGGTGTCTGGAAGCGAGGGAAGGAGGGGAGAGGATTTTAGGCCAATCGTTGTTCGGGATGTGCCCCGGCATAACTGGGAAGCAGCGTCCCCAGGAAAGGAGGAAGAGTTCAAAGCGCAAATCCAACGCTTGCCCAGCCCTGAACGGCGCCCTCGGCTGCCCTTCGCCCTCCCCCTTCCCCGCATCCGCCTCTCACGCGATCTGGCGCCGTCCATCTCCTCCCAAGGCAAGGCAACCCTTTTCCTCTCTCTTCCCGGCCCTCTCGTACCTACGGTGGACTTGCAGGCCTCGCAGAAAGTGTCGTCCGTGAAGCGCTCCATCAGGCTGGTCTTGCCGACGCCTCGCGAGCCTATGATGATCACCTGCAGCTTGAAGTCGGCCGGCCGCGGCGGCTGTTTCCTGCGGCGGGCCTGAGGCCCCGACAGCGCGGGAGAGACCCCGGCCGAGCCCAGCCCGCCTCCGCCGAGCCCCGGCCCCCTCCGCTGCAGCCCAGAGCCCGGCTCCATCCACTCATGCGGCTCGCGCGGCCCACTCCCCGCCACCTCAGTCAGGGCCCGGCCCGAGACCGGCTGCCCTCGCCCGCCGTGAGCGACACTTTGCCCCGGCCTGAGAAGAGGAGAAGAAACAGAAAATAGAAAACCGAGGTCCAGACAGTGGGTGCAACCGCCCGGAAGTGAAGCCAGAGGCGGCCCGGGACGGTGGATGGCAAGATGCGCCCCCTTGCGGCCAGGAGGACTGCAGGTGGGAAACAGGAACCCTCTATTAAATTTATCCGCATATTTGATCACCTGAATCAATAGTGGTCTGGAAGAATGGGCAGGTCGTGTACCCCTCAAGCTTCCCGTATTCTATGGCTAGTTCTTACAGGGAGTGTGTTTTTAAAATCTCTGTCGGAGCTATGCCTTTTAAATTACTATAAAGTAGCCTTTATCTTCAAGCACCACTGCCCGTTACTAATGGGCAAAACTGATAGGGAAGACTTGTCAACTTTTCAGTCGTTACTGCATTTTAATAATTAATGTTAATTATCATCTGGTCTTCTTGCACTGGAAAATGGTTTGCAATGCCAAAACCAAAGTGGTGGTCTAGAACACGGTTCCTAATCTTTGCAGGGATAGGAAGAAAGTCAAGGTGGCAGCCGAAACTAGGGAATGCCAGCTGTAACCCCTTTTTAAATGTGTACTACAAAAAGGCAAGACGTGATTACACAATCACAGCTGCCATCTTGATTTTTTTGAAACCTATTGTGGAAGCCCCTACAATAGGACACTCCCCATTTTGCTTAGTTATGATATTTTGGGGGGTAAGTAGGAAGACATAGTTCACTGAGATAATCGTGTTCATTTAAAAAAGTTTATCAAAGCAACTTGTGGCTGAGAACCATTCCAAATAGAAATCCTAACGGAGGTTAGCGCCTTGGTTGCAGGGAATCATTTTTCAATTCAAAAGCATTTAATTATTTGTTATCATCTAGTAATAAATTGGATGTTCACAATATAATGATCTTACTCTATAGTCATAAAACTAGCATTGAAGGAGGCACCTAGTGGTGGAAGATCTATCAGAGAATCTGACAGTCTCTGTTCAAACTCCTCATGTAGCAGCCCATTCCACTGGTTAATAGCATATATAATCAGGAAGATCCTTCTGATGTCTAGCCCGAACCCCATTCCTGTAGTTTTAGATCACTGGTTGAAATCCTGCCTTCTGGGGTAATGGGGATTAAATCCACCCATTTCTGGGTGTTACTTTTTCATCCTTAGTAGTCTTTTGTGTAGACATATCCAGATCTTTTAATATTTCCTCATAGGATTGGTTTTTGTATCCTTTACTTTGGTAGCCTTCCACTAAACGTGGTCCAATTTGACATTGTTTCTTTTCAATTATAGTTTCCAGAACTGGGCACAATGCTTCCAAAGGTGTCTAACCATGGTAGAGTAGATTGGAAAAACTACTACTTCTGATTTAAATTCTATGTTGCAATTATTGCATCCTGATATAGCATTTGCCTTTTTAGTTGCTGAATCAAACTACTGGCTCATATGTATCCTATTTAACTATTTAATTTATTAAATAAACAATAAAAGCCGAAAGAGTTGACTTCACTAATTGTCTTTCCTTTTCTGGACAATAAATTATATTACAGCCATACTACATTTCTTGCTTATTGACTTATCTTATTCAGCAATTGTTCAAAGTTATGATGGTGCTGCAAAAAATAATTCTATGACCAATGCCTGCATTTATGACCTTTACAGGGTCTCTCAGTCACATGATTGACATTACATTCAATATACATTGACCCCTTGTCTGGCATGTTGTTTTTCTCCCCAATCTCCCTTCCAAAGCAGACAAATTGGAGAGGAAGGGATTACAAGAGAATAAATGGGGAATACAGTGACTGTTTGCCAACTGCATTCACAAATGGTGGCATTGTTTTTGATAGGTACTCGCCAGCATGTGCCTGCTTATTCTGTTGTACTCCCTTCCCTTCTTTTCCAATTAATGTAAATACAAACATTAATTCTCCTCTTGCTAATTATCTCAGCACCAGGTAAACATATCAGAAGATGGGGGAATGGCTAAGCGAAAACAAAAGCCAGAAAGTGTGAAACTGATTAGTCTTGTCAGTCAGGTATCCCTGAACTGCTAGATTGAGCATTCCAAAGGGCAGGGGAGTAGGGAAAAGAAAAGTAAAGTCATGGTCACATGATTTCCCACTTGCTTTGCTTAGCAAGGGAGTTCCCTTCCCAATTGTGGTGGTTAAATAAGGATTACCTGTAATACTCTCCACTGCTGCCCGAAATTGACAAGATCTGAACCAATTATATCAGACATGTCAAACTTGCAATGTTACGTGATGTCGCGCAACGTGTTGGGATGGTTTTGCCATTGCCGGCAATGGGGTGGGTGCGGCTTCTGGATGACGCATCCGGCCCGTGGGCCGGCAGTTTGACACCCCTGAATTACATGCTGAAGGCTTTTGTTGTCTAACCAGCTCTAGCACATTCATACAATTGAAAAGCCACTCTTTATGAAGCTGCAAAAAATGATTTCATATACATCTAGCCCACCCCCCCCCCTTTTTTTTTGCAGTATTTCAGTGTAATTTTTGTTGCTGATGCCAAGAAAGTTAAAATGTGTCCTCCTCCTTTCCAATGTTCCTTGTCTTGCTTTACTTGTTCAGGTATCTAATAATCCTAGCTTGAATGGATGATTAAAAATTTTTCATTTCAAATCCCTGACATACTTTACATATAATTCACCCTCTATTTTTTAAAGATTTTTTTTCTAAATAGGTGTATTTTGATACTACTTTACATTTTATACTGTAAATCACTATAGTTCCTCTCTGGACTAAAAGGAAGCTCATAAATGTAAACATATAAAAATAAGAAACATAACATCATTTAATGGATGGTTGCATTACATGAGTCCCAGATAGAATTGCTAATTTTTCAAGTAATTGCTCTCAGTGTGCCTTTAAGAACAGCACCCTACAAAGACATTTATATATGATAATTTTTATTGTAAAGTGGTGAAAGGATTACAGTTTGTTTCCTTAACATGAAGCCACTTTTGAAATCACAAAAATGCTCAAACATCCTTTAAAACTTTAATTTTCAACCATAGCTCTAACTTTCTTCCTTAAGGAAAAAATAGCTGAAGAAAAGCTCTAGAACGGTGGTTCTCAACCTTTCTAATGCCGCGACCCCATAATACAGTTCCCCATGTTGTGGTGACCCCCAACCACTTATACATCACCGGGTGCCAGGGGCGTGGCCAAAGAAAAGGGGGGAAAAAATGGCGGACAGCCTTGTTTGGCGACCCCCGTGAAATGGTCGTTCGACCCCAAATGGGGTCCCGACCCACAGGTTGAGAACCACTGCTCTAGAATGATGTCTTCTTCTAAGAACTTTATGTCTACCAGACACAGAGTTGGGATGAAGTCTGTGATTATTTTACTGGGAGAAAACAATTGAAAAATCAATGTTAAAAAAAATCCAAGTATTGCCATTTTTGTGATAAATTAAACCACATTTTCACAGTTCTAAGGACCTGGGGACAAAAGCTGACAGAAGATCTGCAGTTATAAGATTAAGAGTGAAACCATTTGAACTTTTAAAATGATATCACGTAAATAGGATTCAGAAATGACAGTAGAGTTATGCTGCTTTGTTTGTCTGCCCAGAGGTACATTCTTTATTTTCATTTGTAGTTATAAATGATGTTTCTGAGGGAACAATATAAATACATTCTAGTATAATATTATATATGTCCATCACAGATTTCAGATTATATCCTTTACAAAAATATTATATTTCATCGACGGAGTATAGACAAAGAGCATATGGCCTCGCTTTTAATTTGATTCCTTCCAGATCCATCTGTCTTTACCTTGTTTTGCTAAATTTACATTGTAATAATAACAACTTGTTTTTGAGTTTGTTTGAAACTATTACGGAACTAGCTTAAGTATCAACAAAGCTGCTTCTTGAAGCCTTCTTAGCCTGTTTATATGGTGGTTAAGATTCACTAAATTAGGGCAAATATTTATAGGCTCCCACAATTCTTCAGAACAGGATATACTGGATGAGGGAGCTGTAGCTTAAGAATATCTAGATAGCTATCAATTGCAGTAGATAAGCTCAATTTTTCACAACACTGTATACACAGGGAGTTCTTGACTTAGAATCACAACTGAACCCAAAATTTTCATTGTTAAGCAAGACAGTTGTTAAGTGAATTTTGTCACATTTCAGAACCTTTCTTGCCACAGTTGTTAAGTGAATGACTGCAGTTGTTAAGTTAGTAATACGGTTGTTCAGTGGTTGTTGGCTTCCCCATTGACTTTGCTTGTCAGGTTGCAAATGGTGATCACATGACTCTGGGACATGGCAACAGTCATAAATACATGCCAGCTGCCCAGCATTTGAATTTTGATCACATGACCATGGAGATGCTGCAAAGGTCACAAGTGTGAAAAACAACAGAATTCACTTTTTCAGTGCTGTTATAACTTTGAACAATCATTAAATGAAATTACTACCTATTAAATGACTACCTGTACACATTTCTGAAAGCAGCCCAGTTATGGAATTCGATAATGTGTATGAATTTTTAATGGCCAGAATATGTGAATCATTCAAAATAAGGTTTTTCAGGAAACCATCCAATTTACACTAATTATGGTTTTTTTAAAACTGTTTTTAAGCAATCACACATATACACAAATTAAGTCTTTACAATGAATAGTCATAAAGTTATGAAACAATCTTGTTTCATACATTTACAATGCCCATAGAGTACGGTGCTTAAATTGTGAGGTTTACTTTTCTTTTTTTGGAAAGTATATTACATAACACTGATGTTTATCTAACATATTGTTGTGGTTGAAAAACAGAAGTCATTCAAACTTATAAAGTGATCTTGACCTAACTATTCTTTCTCAGTTTAACCTAACACTCTGCTGTAGAGCTTCTTTGAAAAAAAGGAAGTTAAATAGCATTTAATTAATGGAGTATACACTATATATTATATTGTGTTGCTTTGTTAAAACCCAATTTGACTTAGAAAATGGTATATTATGGATTTTAATCTTGCTGTAGGGAATGAGCAGGAGTCCAAATTAAATGGGTAAACTTTACTTTCATTTATATAGAGACAGAGAATGAGAAACAGGGTGGAAGGATGAGCAAAGGGAGAGGGAAGCTATTGTAAGTTCAT